ATCACGGCAATATTCCAGCAATATCACGGCAATATTCCAGCAATATCACGGCGGGTGAAACCAGAGATGGACTTCAAACATAGTACCCATGTTGAGAATCGAACCCAGGTCATCAGCGTGACAAACGAACGCTTTAACCAGTAGGCTACCCCAACGCCTCTCTACATCTGTATGAACACATTCTGTATCATAAGTCGGTATGGTTTCTATACATTGGTGCTAAATGTTATCAACAAACGAAAAGGAATGAGTTCAGGCCCATGAAGATCCGTGTGTATTTGTATACACGGACGTACCGCCATTACGTCAGCTGGAAATATGGCGTGACATGCAGTGAAGTTTCAATGTACTGATGTCTTGTAGTTGAATGCAGTTGGTGAATGAGTTAGATTTTACGCCGATTTTAGCAATTTTTAAGCAAAATCACCACATTGGACTCAAGCATTCGGTTTCATCCATCATGCGAATCGAACCCAGTCCTTTGGCTAACGAGCGAACACTTTCACCATGAGGCTGTTCCACTGTCCTGACATGCATACAAACCAAAACAATTGACCCCGTTTGTTGCCTCTTTCAACAAACATGGGTTGCAGAAAATATATTCTAACCCGGATCTTCAGAGATTGAAATGTCTTTACATTGATAGATACATTGTATTTTAAGCCTGTTCCGACCAGACAATCCAGTGATCAACATTATCAGCATTGACTTGTGTAGTTGGGATACGATGGCATTCCTCGACAAAGTCAGCGACTGTGACAACCCGATCGTGTCAGACACCTCTTAAGGCGTGTATGAGTTTGTAAAGAACAATTCTACCCTGGATCGTCAAGAGTTGAAATGTCTTGATCGATACATTGTATTTTAAGCCCGATTCGACCGACATGGTACCAATGAACGGAACAGTCGAGACGAAATATTTGGGAACATAGTAGCAGGAACGATAAAGGGGTTAACGTCACGTCGGAAACGAAGTAATGGCGCATAATGCGTTTAATGGTACTGCATGACGTATTTATCACAATAGCCTTCGGCTTGATAATCGAGGATGATCCCGCTATGGCCTGGTAAAGTAGAGGAGGATATATTGTAGCTTTCATTATTCGTATACGTGAAACAGTTAAAGAACAATACATATATACGAAATTAGGAAATATGAGTGACAGTTTAAAAGTTGAGAAGTCAATACTGAATAACATTATGAATAACAACTTTTATTTTGTGAGATCCAAAGCGAGCGACGACTGAGACCCAGCCAAGTTACAGCTTTTTGTGTTTTGTGTGAGTGAGTGAATTTAGTTTTACGCCGCACTCAGCAATAATCCAGCAAATATATCTGTAAATAATCGAATCTGGACCAGACAATCCAGTCATCAACAATCTGAGAATCGATACGCAATTGCAAATGCGATACGATGACGTGTCAACCAAGTCAGCGAGCCTGACCACCCAGTCCCGTTAGTCGCCTCTCACGATAAGCATGGGTTACTGAAGATCAGTTCTAACCCAGATCTTCGCCGATATTATCACTTCGTAAACAAACTGGACATATTCAACTCTAAGCGAACGAAAACGTAGAAGGGAATTCGGATCGCCAAATCTGCCTTGGAAACTATTTTCATTTTTAACAGCTCTCTGGCGTCATCGGTGTTCAATGTTGTTGTTCAAATTTCGTTTCGAAACAATTGTTTAAAGTCAAAGTCAGTAATATTTCCGCTCTATGATGACGGTTCGTTTAGTGTTGTATCTTCAAAGGGTTGATAGCTTCAAGCATTTAATAAACTATTTCTTTCCTTTACTCTTCAATCATGGGTGTCTAACGTAATGTGTACACAGTGTCCGACGAAATACTAACTTCAAAGGCACAATGTCACGCTTTTTCGACAATATGTTGGTCTGTAATACATATATTGGGGCATATATGCACACACTTTAGCTTCCTATTGATACAATAAAAGACTTATCATCCCTTACGACTTGTCTGAAATCGATAATTGAAACTTCGAGGCGAACAGTTTCCAAACAGATAACACTTGCCATATATGGAATGTAAACAATTGCTCCGGACATCGAAAACTGTCGCACGCGGTGTTGTTAGTGTTTGCCGAACTGGCCTCAATCACAAGTTGCGTTATTGGATGGATATTCGTGAAGAGCGTTCCACGGGACATAACTCTATTGGGTTCGCTTGAAATAAAGTTCGGTCGGAAGAGGGCGCGAGAGTCGACTTAATGCAACGTTGCATTAATTCATTCGAACTTTTTAATTTCATATTGTAATCTTAATACATATTTACTTTGGAATAAATAATATGGTAGCTTCGCTGGGGGCTGATAGTTAGTATTAATGAGAGAAATGCAATATTGATTTTTAGAGAAGTGTGGCGTGACAGAGTGCCTTTAATTTCTCTAAGATCCATGTATTTGACACCGATAAATTTCGCTCAACGTGAAGAACGGATGCTTTGACTACAAAGCTATCTGCAGGCCACCGCGGATTAATTTATGTGGTTCAGTAAGATGTAAAGCCGCTTTGAAAAGTAGTTCAATCATAACACAACACAAATCGATACAGGGCTTGGTTTATATACCAGTCAAGATTATTCCTGCCATATCACGACATGTAAACTAAAGTCTCTATTTGTTGGTTGGTTTGCCGCACTTAGCAATATTCCAGCCATATGGTGGCAATCTGTAAATAATCGAGTCTGGACCAGACAATTCAGTGATCAACAGCATGAGCATATATCTACGCAATAGGGATAAGATGACATGTGTCAACCGAGTCAGCGAGCCTGACCACCCGATCTTGTTCGTCGCCTCTTACGACAAGCATGCGTCACTGAAGACCAATTCTAACCCGGATCTCCAAGGGTCATCTGTTTGTGAAACCGGTGACTGAAAGCTGGATATTCAATTCTTGACAACCTGATCCGTTTCAGTGTCATGTCTGGCATAACATTGTAGTCCTGTTCCAGCTTCAGGGGGCGTGACTCTGTTTGTCGTTGAACCCCGCACTCAACAATATCCCAGACACAAGACGGCGTTCTGTAAATGGAGTCTGGACCAGATAATCCAGTGATTGATATCATGAGCACTGACATACGCAGTTAGGATACGATGGAATCCAACGACAAAGTCAGCGAGTCTGACCACCCGATCCCGTTAGTCGACAATAACAAAAGCAACAACCAGTCCACGGAAATTGCTCTGGATCAGTGGCCCTTTAAGAGAGGCGTGGGTTTCTGAAGACCAATTCTAAACTTCACCTTCACCTTCTCTGTATACAGCTAATATGTATCGTAAAAATTAGTTTAAACAATAAGTTTAACACATTACGTAATTAATGAATTGTTATATTATCCTATGAACATTTTGTGTAAAGTTTAATCGGAAACATTTAGAAAAGACGATAAACCAGTATTTGCGTTGTTGCCCTTGAAATAAATATTTCTTTTCTATGTCAATACGGTTAATATATTTTATCATTGTGATGAAATCACACCAAATATATACTCACACGCATAAGAAACGCAAGTTTTTTTATCCAAATAGGAAACAAACTCGGAACCCCGAATTGATATGAGTTTTAGCATGTAGTGAAGCCTGATGGAGTTATCCATATTTTTTCTTGCGTTTTGGAAGGCCCGAGTAAAAACACATGAATAGAAGGAATCACCAAAATGCACCATACCAATGAACATGTGGGTATCATGCACACATTTCTCGTGAAATCGAACATAATCGAATTGTCACTACCATTAGTGGGTATAAGACAAAAATTGGGTCTATCACTCCTTGTTCACCAGTGCCACGCTTAACTCAGAGCGCAAGAAACCAGACTATCGGACGTTTGGATGCTACAGAGTCCGTCCAAGATGTTGCCCGTCATTTCGACGTAAACATAACCACGATTTACCGTCTCCAGCATCGATACAACAACACAGACCACAAATGACATCCTCGGAGCGGTCACCACCCCTCCTAGGGTCACCACCCCTCGACAAGATCGGGACATCACCTGTCAACACCAGATCCGTTCTTGTCAACCCCTTTACCTTTAGAAAACTTAATCATGTCATCAGTCTTGGTAGCCAATGAAATGTCTTCACTCAAATTTTGTCTATTTGACCCTGTTTGTATTCCCTGTATTTTATGCTGCAAATTGCATACATATATACATTATACTTGACTTGCGTTACTTTTGCGTGCGAGTATACAATGTAAACAGATAAGATAAAGTTACGAAAATGTTTAACTTTCAACACGCTATTTAAATGTATCATTATAATAAACCTAAAAAAAGAGATACTGGGTCCCGATCCACTAAGCTTCGCAGCGCTACGACATTCGTTGTGATAAACAATAGAGTCACGACAGCTCGTAACGTTACGAACGCTTGTGGAGACCCAGTTCTGCATAGATAAATGGCACAGTATTGAAATGAGGTCAAACTGTACTAAATCACAACGAATCATACTTGACCTTAAGTGCACACCCGTATAAATAATGATCATAAGGAAACAGTCAAGTTTCACTCTCTCTAGAGCGTTTCCCGTGTACTGCTTGAACATATGACATTTTTGTAATCTTTGGTTTTTTGGCAAGATTTGGACGATTGGTGTCAGAGTAACTTAAAACTCCTTGATAGTAACAGGCACTCTAAGCCCAAAGCAAACGAACACATGACAACGCAGCCCAGAGACGGTAAACGTTCAGCGGAATCCAATGGGCAAGGGTACTTCACAATCACATACAATACAAACAGTGTTGATGCCGACCCTTTTGATACATGTTGAAAACAAATAAGGGATTTACTAAAAGAGAATATATTATGCAGTAAATATGACCATGAGGCTGACTACACGTTAGATATCAAACACATTGTCTGATTTAGTGTACACATTGTCTCGTAAATAGAAACAGTCACTCTCACGTGAGAAAGGAGTCTCACATGCGTCACAATCTAAAGATGGTTTTCGTTTGGTATAAAAGAGTGTTATGCTGGTCGATATTCCATCTGGAGCTGTCACCAGCAGTATGAAGTGTTTCAAGGGGTAAGTGTTTAGTACATCGGGACTTGGTATTTGGAGTGAGTGAGTGAGTGAGTGAGTGAGTTTAACGCTGCTCTGAACAATATTTCAGCTATATGTAGGGATGGCTAAAATGATCGATAATCGGAAATATCATCGATAGGAAAAGTGTGTTATCGATAATGTTTTACATTAACTTTTGTGATAGATAAAATGTTTAAATATTCTCACACAATATACAAATTTAGGACTTTACTCATGGTCTTCTAAATTATGTTCAGGACGCTGTTTTGTTACTAATTCATGCAAAAACATATCACCACTCACCAGTGATGTGAAATATATTCATTTCTTACATTTGACATTTTTGCTCAAAGCTATATTTCCGATATTTATTGATAATCGATCGATGTTTAGTTAACGATTATCGATCTCTTATCTATATCGATAGACAGTCCTAGCTACATGACTGTATGTCAGCCTGATGAGGGAGATAATTAAATCTGCAGCTTCAGGTATATCGATGATGTAACGATATTAGATCAATAGCCATCAATAAGCCAATTCCCTTCCATTGATTTACCCACCTGAACGTGAAGTAAGGTAACAAATGTTTCATACATAGATCTATGCATAAAGATTCAGAGTGACAAAAAACTCTCCACAAGGCTGCATGACAAAAGAGATGATTTCAACTTTCCAAGAGTCACGGTTCCTTCCATATGGAGCAATATTCAAACAGCTCCAGAATTTGTGGTTTACGTTTCACAAGTTTTGAGGTACAACCGAGCATGCACTTTTTCCAAGATTTCGAAGAGTTGTCATACGACTCTTTCTCAGAAGTTACAAAATTCAAACGCTTTATGGTAGATTTTTGGAAGGCATTTCGAAATTCGATGCATCAGTGACAAAAATTATGTCCGATCTAATTCCCTGATTTGACGTACCGTACGTTCCCGAATTACTTCAGGTGAACAAATGCATTTGCGTATGTTTATGACGGGTACCATCGGTGGGGCAGGGTACGTTAACCTTTTTGCGAATACCTATAGAGTGACAGAGTTCACAACACTCATGCTCTGTCAGTCGTATATCATTATTATTATTATTTTATTATTGGATATTTATATAGCGCACATATCCACGCACTAGTGCATGCTCAAGGCGCTGGTATTTTTTCCCCTCGATCATTGGATGTCAGTCTCAACGGCATATCTTATTATAAATCTCAACTCCCTGGGGATCATACAACTCTTGCTGCCACTAGGCGCACCGAGTTAGTGTGGCTTTCCCATCCTTACGAGGTACCCAATCACCGCTTGGTGGACTGGGACACATAGTCACAGTACTTTGTCCAAGTTTTACTGCACGTTGCTGTACCCGCAACTAGGTGTTTGCACGTATTCATGTGGCCTCCATCTGGTCATATACCAACGGATTCGCGGGTTCTTTTAAGTGCACAGGGTTGTGTACTGTACACTAGGGGTTGTGACAACACTGAAAAAGTCTGCACACAAAGTTTTTACACCCGGTCACAGATGGGCTCGATCCCGACACCTCATGCCCGCTGGATCACCAGCCTGGCGCTTTAGCCAGCTCGCCCACCACGCCCCATATCACGGTGTCAATGACTGGTTTGTCTGGTCCATACTCGCTTGTTGACGGACCGCGACGTACTCGTGTAATACTGCTGAATGTGGCTTTTAGCAGATATGTCTTGTGGGTGTGGAAAACGGTTTTGTCGTTTGTATTTACCGACACTTAACAAGTGTATGAAGTGTGAAACCAGGGGAAAATCGACCTCGATTATCTGTTGAAACATATTCTCGATATTGCGAGGAAAACCAGTCAATACAGTTCGTGACGGGATCACTGGTGCAGACAAACCGCTGAAATATAATCTAGGAATTGAGCGCTCTCGGACGCCGAACTGCGGCAACAGTCTGCGGTAACAGACTGCTATGCCGTCCATAACGCGGTTCCAAGAATGTCATTACAATTTGTACAATTTTAACCTTCATAATTTGTTAAGTTGGTTTGTTTGTTTGTCGCGCCGCTACGCCGAACTCAGCAATATTCCGTTATATAGCGGGGGTCTGTAAATAACCGAGTCTGGATAAGATAATCAAATGATCAACTGCATGAGCATCGATCTGCGCAACTGGGATACGATGACATGTGTCAATCAAGTCAACGAGCCCGATCCCGTTAGTTGCCTCTTACAACAAGCATGGGTTACTGCATCCTCGATAATCTCCAGCGTATACGTTACGGTGGCGGGTCGTTGTTCTTCTTTATGGTGGGAACAACAACCCAAAATGTGTCATCTACAAAATAAACTGTGATTGTGGGCAGAGCTACATAGGCGAAACGTCCCGACCCATCAACACCCGAGTGAAAGAACATCAGACCTCTGTTACCAATTCCGACAGCAAATCAGCCATTTCCCACCACATCAAAGCAAGCCCCAATCATCAAATAGAGTGGTCTGATATCACCATTCTCTCAACAAACAAACACACAGACTTCACTAAACGCAAGCTCACCGAAGCCATCCACATCAAACGCCAAAAGCCCACCATCAACCGAGACCAATGATACTTCATTCCATCCGCTTATGATGCACTCATCCACCAAGCCCAATCTACTGTATAAACTCTGCTGTATAAACATCTCATTATTATTTGTACATCATTGGCTTCCACGCCTGTCCTTTGTCTACTCTCTGGCTTCATCAGCTTTCTGCCTAGCCAATTATGTTAATTATGTTGTTTTCTTGGTTACATTATTACATCCAGCATATATATACTTCCTCCTTCTTCATGTTCCATTATGCTTGACAACGGTACAAGAATCTGTATCGAAACGTCGCACTCACGAATAAAAAGAAGTTGTTATCCATAAAGTTTGTTCTATATTGTACTTCCCAACTTCTAAAATGCCACTCAAAGAAATTTGGTTCAAATACTTTCAGATCGCTTGTTTTGTACAGCTTAGCAGCGAATCCAAAATGCGAAACGCGGATTCCTGAGAGGATTTAAGCCACATTTTGGCTTATTCAACATTGCTCGGTATATTTTTCAGTCGATTGTACCCGAGTTACAATCATCATACTTATAGTTTAACAAAGTTTGGTTCAACTTCTTTCAGACTGCTTGTTTTGTGTTTCACCATCGGTGTTTCACACGGATACCGACATTACCAAGACGACCTACCCAACGGCGACGCAGTGCCTCATCCTTGCAAGTCAAACTTCTTGTGGCGGGGCTTGGGGCACACGAACCCTCAGGGAGGGGGGAGCCAGGAATCCATTTGGTCTCGATTTCCAGGAAGTGGAAGAGGTAGGTTGACGTTAGGTAGAAATAGGGGCGGTGTGGTAGCCTTGTGGTTAATGCGATCGCTCGTCACGCTGAAGACCCGGGTTCGATTCCCCACATGGGTACAGTGTGTGTCTGTCGTGGTACGACATGCCGTAAAATACAGATAAAGTAATTAACCTATACCTGGAACCGCGAAAAACATCTTATTGTTACCTATGACGTAACTCTAAGAGCAGATGTACAATCATGTAAGATATATTTGCGACCAAATTAATTTTAGAGTGTGTGAGTATGGTTTTACGCCACTTTTAGCCATATTCCAGCAATATCACGGCGGAGGACACCAGAAATGGGCTTCACACATTGTCCCCATGTGGGGAATCCCAACCCGAGTCTTCAGCGTGGCGAGCGGACGCTTTAACCATTAGGCTACCCCACTGCCCTTTTAATCAGAAGAATTATGTAAACAGATTTCATTTTGCTATTCATGATATTTTAAGCGATCATTATCAACTAGTTAAAATAGATAGATTTCTCAGATTGGTGAGGCTGTAGCACAAATACATGCAAAGCCAAGTCATTATCCGCGCTTGGGGACAGATGGTAGTTAGAGAACGAAAGCTAAAATAGGGAATGACTTTATGACGTCATATTATGCTTGATCATTGTCCCGAAACTGGGTCGTATTTTAAAAAGACCGCATTTGGAAGTAGTTCTAAATGTGTCAGATCCCTCAGTCAATATTGCGTGGGTTTGTATTCCCTACGTCTCCTGTCACCTGAGGGAGATTTGGTAGTGTCGCCCCGCTATTTTAAGTTCAACACTGAAATGAGGCCATGTGTTATTCAAATAAACTCTGCTCAAACTCTGCTGTGGTTCGATATCAAAGCCAGCAGAGTAGGTTAATTTCCGCAAGGTTGTGAAACATTCTGAAAAAAGAAATTGCTGTTTTGTGATATAGAATCTGCTCTTTGCTCAAATATTCTTTAGTTTCCTTCTCGTTAGAAACTAGGATTTGTTATTTTGATGGTTGACGCTGCACTCTGCAATATTCCAGCTATACGACGGCGGTCTGTAAACAATCGAGTCTATACCAGACAATCCAGTGATTAACATCATGAGCACAATCATCGCAATTTTGATACGATGACATGTGTCAATCAAGTCAGCAGGCCTGACCACCCGATCCCGGAAAGGGTTGTTGTTCAAAGACCAATTCTAACCCGGATATCTTTAGAGTCAGTCAGTCAGTATTGCTTTACGCCGCATTTATCAATATTCTAGCAATATGACGGCGGGGGGGACACCAGAAATTGGCTTCATCGTTGAACCCATATCGGAATCGAACCCGTGTCTTCGTCGTGATGAGCTAACGCTTCAACCTCCAGGCTACCCAACCGCCCCTTCAGGAATTATGCCTTAGCTCTTGTTCGTCTCTTTCCATTTCATTCTGTCCAACTTGACGTATCTCATGCCGTGGAAGCAGTGTGTAGTGTTCATGTGCAATCCCTTAACAGCATCCATTAATGCAATTAATAAACTGATGCAATTGCAATCTTATGAGATACACTGTAAAAATAAGATTTCAAATATAGACGAAATAATGATTACCGGGTTAGTACCTTTATGTATATATGATGTAAATGTTCACTAACAAGATCTTAGTTAGGCTAACTACCATAATCTAGCTCAAAGAAATGCCATATCTTCAAGCGAAGCTGACAATTTCCTCGTATTTTTAGTGTCAACGTATTCGTCTAAAAGTTTAAACTTGTACTGCTGACACTTATATACTCATGCCAATAATGGTTGTCACCCCTTTCAACTTTTTTTATTGGAGAGGGTGTGTGGGGTGGGGATGTGAGGTGTGTGTGGGGTTGGGGTGGTGAAGGGGGTGACAACCATTATTGGCATGAGTATATGTACATAATTGTCTGAAATATTCCAAATCCATGTCAGCACAAAACGCTCCATTATTTTGGTTACTATGCTAACATGGTCCAGAGTGATAGTTTCTATTCTAGTGGAGTAAAGAGCTGTGTCAGAAGGACTCCGATGGCGATGGACTGACCAATGGTCAAGAGTTAGGAGATCCTGATTGTGTGTGGAATCCCGGTCAGTTCCCACAGAGGACCAGTAACATCACGCATCCAGGTAAAAAGATCTTTTGGATTTTTCTATTTATACTTTTATTATCCAGGTAAAAAGATGGTACACACTGACGTATGATCCATTCATTTCAGCAGACCCGTGAAGATCCGGGTAAGAATTGGATCCGGGATCGGGTGGTCAGGCTAGCTGGCTTGGTTGACACATGTCATCGGTTCCCAATTGCGTAGATCGATGTTCATGCTGTTGATCACTGGATTGTAGCACTCACTCACTCACTCTTAGATCCAGGGTAGAATTGGTCTTCAGTAACCCATGCTTGTCGTAAGAGGCGACTAACGGGATCGGATGGTTAGGCTCACTGACTTGGTTGACACATGGCATCATATCCCATTTGCGTATATGTATATGCTCATTCAGTTGATCACTGGATTGTCTGGTCCAGACCGACACCATATAGCTGGAATATTGCTGAGTGAGGCGTTAAACAACAAACAAACAGCTGCTTTTTTCTCTAATCATAATTCTACGATTATGACTTTGTAGATTTTTGACCCTACCCACGCCTCATTCACTTCAGGTATTTGTGACCCCTGGGGAAGCCCTCAGTGCACGGCCAAGAACGACTGGGTGTCTTGTACAGCGGGCGAGTTTGTATGCAACGCCACAAAAGAACCTGGTAAGTTGAACCTCATCGGTTTTTTTACTAAACCTGACCAACATAGACCTACAAATGACGATAAGGTACCTGTTTTTCGACAATAAAATTGTTAACGGGGGAATGAGGAGTACCATGGTTAAATATCCTTTCTCTTTCTTTTGTCTGGATGTTGAAGCTATCAGTCTCTAGTGTTACGGTTAATAAATTTGCCGTGACAAAAGGTTTAAGAGTCCCCTTTGAATTTTGACCCGGAAGTCAAAACCAAAAATAAGCCAGCCAAGGGAGGCAACTCTGAAGCGCTATAAAAAAGGCATGCCGCTACAAATACTCACACACACACACCCAAACCCCCCATATATGATGCGAGATGAGAAACACAAACCACACTCAAAACTGTAAACATTGTGACCCAAAATAACAATCACTTAATCAATGTGATATTACAATTTAAAAAAACCCAAACCACTAGCATGATCAAGCTGATTATTGCTAAAATGAGTAACAAATATTCATTTTACTTTCGTTATGATAACATGTAATTAAGATTTAGTTCAGGCTGAACCTCCACAACGTTGTATTCCTTGTACGTTCCAAAGTAATGCTGCTGAAAATTGGTTTTCAGAGGTGAGGAGCTTCACTCTGAGATATCCTCCCACGAGGGTGCCTCCGACGGAGACCAACTACTACTGCATGACCTTCAACGTCAGCGACTACATCGACATGTCACAGGACTACCACCTGATTGCCACTAAGCCAGAAATCAACAACTCCAACGTCATGCACCACATCGTCTTGTTTGGATGCAACGACGACGGTAGTTTTCTGTGCATATCTATCGATTTTATGGAAATGCTGTCATAGAACACCATCGTACTTTCCGATACTTTTTCAACTCCCTGGGGAGCTTACTCTTACAGCCATGTTGCCTGTTAGGCGCAATGAACTAAACACTCACATTGCCAGCACATCCTCATGGGTACCCATTTTACAGCTGTGTGAACTGAGACAATGTGGATCTAAGTATCTTGCCCATGGATACTACGCAAATGTTCCCACCTCGGGCACAAAAAAACTAGGACTGACTAAAATGATCGATAATCGGAAATATCGTCGATAGGAAAAAGTATCAATGATTATCGATATGAAAATTGTGTTGTTGATAATATCGTACATTAACTCTTATAACAGAAAAAATAAATATTAATTTTCTCACACAATATACAAATTTAGGACTTTATTCATGGTTCGCTTCGAAAAAATGTTCAGCACGCTGTTTTGTTCATAATCCATGCAAAAACATGTCACCACTCACTAGTGAAGTGAAAAATGGGAGTATTTTGGCAGTTTTGCTCAAATGTACGTTTCCGATATTTATCGATAATCGATCGCTATTTAGTTAACGATTATCGATATATGATATATACCGATATCCAACCCTACAAAAAGCTGTATCAATTGTACGATTCCGACAATATCGTAAGAACGTTTTATAAATAACTATGAAGAAGACATTATACCATATGTTTCGCGTCTAGGTGAACCCCTCATTCTCCCGAGGTACCTGAAACAGCAAGACTATTGTTCGTCAAGAAACGCTCTGGTACAAGTCAAAATAGAGAATTGCATTTGACATATCTACAATAAAGCTTTTTTGTATCTTGTTTACAAAGGTATAATCGCCCATATATTTTTCAATCTTGACAGCGGTCATGTCAGACCATGCCACGCCGTGTTACATGTCCCAGAAAGGATGTTCACAATTTCTTGGCCTGTGGACCCTGGGTCTTGATGGAACTTGCGAATACGAAGAGGCCGGATATCGAATAGGTCGCACTGGCTCAAAGAAGATGGTCATGCAGGTGAGTCTGTATTTCTGAACAAAGCAGTCCTTATATGAGAAAAATTACACCGAAGGTACGTGTCGTAGAACACATGTTACATTTGGTATTACACTTTCTCAGTAAAGTACAGATTCCAATAGTTTTGTTGGGTTGAGTCCCATCCGGGATTCGAACCCACACCCTCAGAGTCAGGCACCTAATCGCCAGCACTCAAAGTCAGCCGCCTAACCCTCTCAGCGACCGCGGCTTCCTGAAAAATGTGGTCAAATGTATCACATGTTATATATGGGATTACACTTTCTCAGTAAAGTACAGTTACAATTGACCACTTTCTGAATGGCATTGGGTATTCATCGCTTTCGTCTATGGGAGCCGTGCCAATTCACACACATCAGAAGGGTACACAAAGCCCGTGATCTTGACTACCAGTTGTCCGACTAGTCCGCGATGGCTAAGTGGGATAGACGGATTTGAGCACTTTCGAAATGGCATTGGTTATTCACGTGTCGTAGAAGTTTAACACACAACGGGTTTGTTGCTCGCGATTTATCCCCTAACATTCTGGTATATTTTGTTCCAGTTCCATTGGACCAATCCCGAGCTGAGAAGTGACTATGTTGACAGTTCTGGAATGACCATATATTACACGCCGAAACAGAGAAAGTACAATGCCGGATTCCTACTTACTGGTCAAATGTATCTGGAGATTCCCCCAGGTGTCAAGCGGTCTACCTTTGAGTCCACCTGCACAGAAGAGTGCACCAACAAACTGATGAAGGGCAATATCTACATAACATCGGGCCTCAGCCATATGCATTATCTAGGTAAGGTAACGTGAGACATTTCGCTCCGCCCAGTCAGACACATTGTTATTATATTCTCACGGAAACGAATAAGGGAAGACATGAAAGTACAAGTTTTCCTTTATTCTTTTTGCTTTACAATGTATGTATTGCACTGTGGGTGAAATTCTGGAAATAGATAAAGGAACACTTGTACTTTCATGTGTTCCCTTATTCGTCTCCATGAATATATTCCACAGAGTAATAATAGTATGTAGCAGGTAGGGTTCGGGTGATCCTTGCAGAGTCAGGCTGGTAAGGCTCATCATCAGCTCAGAGCCCTTGGCCTCTCTATACACAGCCCAGCAAACGAGGAAGCCTCCCAGGAAGCGCTGCCAAGTCTAACTCACCAAGAACTTTCCGGAGAATATGAAGGCTTCCCAACCCTGCAGTCTTCTGCATTACCCAGAGTGTCAGAAGGGCTGTGCTCCCGGTGGAGAACCCGGGAACTCTCTTGATCTGCGCCAAGAATAATGGTTAGCCTGACGACAGTGTACTTGGGATGCAAAGGCGAGGTCCACAGATGCTCTCAATAGGGATAGAAAATTCAATGATATAAAAATTCATTGGCTTTATCAAAAAAGATCAGGTTTATTGGCTATAATTCGTCTTGCATTCGGGCCTATTCCAAAGAAATTTAAAAGCATCAATTTCAATGACGCCCTGGAGATGTTCAGGGTCGTACCATGGATGGACCTCGAAATCAAAGCCACAGGCATATCGATGACGGTAGTAGAGGCAACGAACCATGCCATCGTGTCTTCTAAGATATGCTGTTTGTGCCAATGAAGGGCATCTACTGACAAGGCGTTAGACATTCATTGCATAATCGACATTTCATATTGATATTTAGAATCACAATTTGGTCATTGTGAATGGAAAGTGACTGGCCCTGAGCAGCAAAACGAGCGAATGAGGTTAGTTTTACGCCGCACTCAGCAATATTCCAGCTATATTGCGGCGGGAGCAGCAAAACGAGAGACCTCAGTTTCAGATGAGTAAGACCAGCGGACTTCATTCAGGCGAAGGACGTTTTGTTCCACACGATGCAATGGTTTCTCAGAAAGCTTTTCCACAAAGGACCTGGTTTACTCCCATCGCTCTTCCATCCAGCAGAACATCGCCATCAACAAAATCAACCTCAAATTTGAGATTCTGTCCAACAGAATTTTTTGTTTTCTGCATTTTTGACATGCATCACAACATGATCATCCGATAAATAAATATGTGCACAAGTACGGAGTAAAAGTCAATAATGAAGAGCCTCCACATTAATCAAAACCCGAACCCCCGAAGTGATGGACATATATGAACGATTAAGAGGAACGAGGATGGTTGGCTCTGTGGTCAGAAATGATCCTTCTGTTCAGGCGGTCAAGACTCTGGATATCTTGCTTTGACCAGTCAACTACTCAAAAGGAATAGGAAAGGACTGGCACATGAATGATGATTAATATTACTATTATAGACAGATAGATGCATCTTGAAAGTAATCGTTATTCAATATATTATACATATACATCCGATATAGATATATTTTGATATAGATATTGTATATCAGAGACTTTGTTCTTGCAGGGTACAAAGAGGAGGTCGAGTTGATCCGAAATGGTGAAATGGTGACGAATGTGATCGATGACGCCAAGTATTCCTATGACAGCCCCCAGTTGAAAATGTAAGTGTGAAGATTAAGATAACAATCGACTTTCTTATCTTGGAACGATTAGATGTCAATCCGTCTGAGACAATCCGTCAGAGCCGATGCGTCTGAGACGGATTATGGTGCTGGGTTTACCAAACCAAGGTTCTTGTCCGATGGGTTCATATGCCAAAATGGAATTAGAATTTACGAATTATTGCCTAGTCCGAGTTTGTGGATGTGAACGTCTACCAGCGGAGTGATTAACGTTGGGTTTACCCCCAAGTTGAAAATGTCAGGCTGTGGATAGTTAACATGGGGGTAAGGGATATAGGTCCATTAGTTTGAGACCGTTTACATTTCCAATCAGCGCTTGAAGACAACTATGTACACTGCAAATGATGAACCCAACATGAGTCTAGTCCGTTTATTCTTTTTTTTATTGCTTTTCAGACGTTTGAAATATTTAATCTGTGGGTGCCAAAAAAGGACAATTGTTTAAGGGACATCATCCAGTCTCCATAAACTCATCCTCAGCTAAAACATATCAATGTCACGTTCCAGGTACTCCACCCCCATTGAGATGAGACAGGGTGACAGTTTGAAGACCACGTGCATCTACCGATCTCTGTCCAAGACCCGCACGACCATGTACGGAGATGGATCCTACGATGAGATGTGCTTTGGCCTCTTCTCCTACTTCCCGGAAGAAAACATGACCGGAAGCTGCATTACATGGAAGAACGTGGATTTCTGTAAATTCTCGGATGACGAAATTGACGGATGTAACAGCCGAACCTTTAGAAACCTATCCAGTCCTGAAATGCGAGTGATCGTGAATGAGGTAAACTACGAGTATTAATTCAAGTCAATCACTTGTAACTACTATTATCTTTTTTTCCTTTTTTATTTTGAAAATGTAAATTTGGAGTTTAAGGAAAACATCGGCCATCTTATCTTAGAGTGAGTCAGTTAGTTTCTCGATGCTTTTATCAGTAATACCACGGCAAGGGACACCAGAAATGGGCTTCACACATTTTGAATCGAACCCGGGCTTTTCGACATGTACTGTATGGGGCTACTGCGTTATGCTCGTGCATTCCATGCGTATGTTTAAGGGTGGTGATAAAGAGAAATGGTGCTGCGTTCATAAGATGTCTGTCTTTGAAAATTTGTTAACGTTTATACTTCCTATCCAAGTTGAAAGTTCGTGTTCCCCAAGTTTTTTAAAGAGTATATATGGAAAATTCATACCAAACGGAGACTTTCTAAGTTATGTGTGACGATTGAAAATTGTTTCATGTAAAGGGATTCAACAACTGTATGTGATATTTAAAATGCTGTAGTATGGCGATTAAAAAAAGAGATCACAGAATTGTTTGAATGAGGCAAACGCGTTTTCTGGTCGAATATATTAATCTATGTATTAAAGACTGTGTTTGTAGGTTAGATTTGTACAAATAATTATGTTAACATTTCAGGTGATGGGCAGCTGTAACCACTACGGCCCCTGCAGACTGGAATGTCCAGCTGTTCTTGAACAAGTCAACAAACACCCTTGCCTGCAGGGCCAGCTTGGGGAATACTTGTTGCATGATTTCGCTGACGGACGAGATCCCGATAAGATTAAGTTTGCGCATGCGCTGAGGTCATGTGACGGGGAAGCCGACCCAGTGGACACACCGTATCCGTTTTCAGGTGCACGTGCAGCATCTTCCGTAGTCGCAACCTTAATCGTAGCAATCGTAATTGCCTCAGTACTGTAGGTTTGTCAGGTATCTGCTGCTGCTGATTTTGGATCTTAAATTACTTCAACTCTTAAATGCTTCCTGAGTATCTCAAGGGCGATGGGGGTAGTCTAGTGGATAACACGTTCGCTCGTCACGCCAGAGACCAGGGTTTTATTCATGGGCACAATATGTGAAGTCCATTTCTGATTATTCCTGTTGTGATATTGCTGGAAAATTGCTAAAAGCAGCAGAAAAACTATACTTGCCCCAGGATCCATTCCCGTGGTTTTATCAATCTCAAATTATGACCAACTGAATTCAATTTTCCAATTGGATGAGCTTAGCTACTTGGTGTACCGACCAAATGCGAGTTACAAACTAGACCAGCGCTGGGTATGAATATTAAAACAACCATGGCAGCTAGTCACATTGATTATGATCGAGTTGGCAAGAAATAAATTTTGACAAAATGGCTGAAACTCACAAGAAGGCCCCCAAAGGTCCTTTTGATGAAGGAAGCAAAGATTCCATATGTCATTCCGAATATCAGCATTGCTGGGCTCGGTCCAAGGGGAACAACTCCTGACCCTCTTTAAACAAGCCTTATCCAGTTAACGACGCCATGAAGTTGCAAACGTACGTTCATATCTCCAGAAATGACATCAAAATCTCTTGTATCCAGAAAAAGATTGCTGCTCAAAGGCGTTTTGAGTCATGGTCTCTGATTAGTCCTTGTTGCCTTTGCTTAACAAATGTGTTTTTTCAACAGTGATTTTAAAGTGCTTAGTTCATTTGTCGAACAACACGTATCGTGAAATAAACAATACTTCCTTCTTCGCTGGTCCGATCTTTTCATTTGACATGTGCCCCAGGAGCAGGACTCGCAAACCTGATATCCTCACTGTTTGATAGGGAATCACAAACAGGTGTTCATGACATAGTTCAAACCGTGCGATCGATTTTGCTTTAGCAGAGATAAAATTTGAAAATGTTTTGTCGCATTGATGAATTCATTTGTAAAGTTTGCAAGCCTGATCGTACGACATTGGTACGATATATTTTTTTAGACTGTTTGTTTCACGTCATGTCAAATGTTTGTTTTTTACTCTTTCAAAAACATTTTCTCGCTCCTTCATTGCAGTTTCCACAATGTCCTGGAACCATTATTTTCTTGTATTTCAATTTACGCAAAATAATCGAAATTTCTTTACGCTATTCGATTAATTTTCTGTAATTTCAATTTTAAACTTTATTAAGCAAAAATGGTTCTATCATGTGTTAGTAGTAAGGTCCTGATTATATGTACCGTATGCGAAAAGCCATATGTTAAAGGCGGCTGTACCAAAATAAACCTAAGACGACAATCTTATACCGGGCCAAAGTGCACTACTGTTAACAAAACACTCATCGAATGGGAACGTTCTGGTCAAAGTCATCTCAAACCAATAAATTTTAAAAAGTTTTTCAGTTACGTCTAAGCGATTTAAAGAAAAGCCTCATGTGATAAATGTCCATTGGGTGGCCTTGCTGACATGAGCACAACTTATCACTTGCTTTTGATAACAGGCACCTGAACTCTCAAGCAAACATCCAAAGTGTAACTAACATATCCCGGTAACCGTCAACGTCCCTATCTCAAATGGCGCAACAGGGCCCCGTGCAATACCAATATCCTCAATGATGTCATTTGATTCAAGTAAAATATAAGCTTCACTAACACGCAATATATCATGTTATAAATAAGACCCTTGGACAAACAAACGCTTGATGTTAAAAATATGGCTTGATGTGTTGTGTCGAAGTGAGTCATAGTCTCTCGTATTTCAACAGTCACTCTCACGTGAAAACACAGTCGGGATTGCGTCATCATTTGAAAGATGGACTTTGTACCTATACAAGAGCTTCTGATGGTCATGGATCTATCTTTGTCTGTTAATATGGGGCTATACGTGGAGAATGATCTAGTGAGCTTGGTTGAATGCCGTTTTCAGTAGTATGTCAGCTTGACGTGAAAGGAATGTATGGGATAATGTCTTCGACAGTAACACTTCGGGGAAACACAGGAACACAAACATATATTCATCTGTCAACCTAAGGTTTGGGACTGCATATTTTGCAAATATCCTCTTTGTTATTCGTTTCAGTGTAAAAGTGGTTACACGTACCTTCATGTCTCTCCGTGACTTAACAGGAACCTATTTTTAATGTCACGGTGATCGCCTATTAAATAGTGACCTACATGTAGGTGACTAGCAATAGTTTTTCGTGATTGTTTTGATCAACTTATTTAGGGTGTAGGTTCAATTGATGCAATGTCTGACAGGTGACGTAAGCATATGTTTCACATGCATGACCTCGTGTCAGGTCTACTCTCGTGTCACCTGTCTAAAACACAACCTAGGACAGACACGTGAACTATGTTGTCCCACGACGCAAAAAAACCATGATTAAAAGCGTGTATGAGTTTTTTCAGGAATGAAGCTGAAAGGGTTGTTCCCTTTACAAACAAAACGTTGAAGGCCTTGAACATACCATGTACAACATTGTACAGGATTATCTTACCAGAGAGTTCATCAATGGATCCAAAGAAGCTTGGTTCCGACTCAAAACCCAGAAATTCAAATGTGTTTGATAATTTTAATCTCAGATGGGTGAGAGATGTAATAAGACGATAAGTAGCAATCTACCTCAGACAACAAAACTAAGGCCAGATAACAGACAATCTGTCTGTCTTCTAAACATGAGTTTGAACCAACAGATGCTCTCTTATGACATTTTGCTGTCTAATGTTAGCCAGATATCCTGCTGACTATCAACAGATAACTTATCCCTGTGTTGTGAAGATATATACTCATATATTTGAGGTGTGTGTGGCGTTGGTTGGGAGGGTGGTGACAACAATTATTGGCACGAGTATATAAAGTAACCCAGGATTATATAGCTAGGAGCAATATACCTCCAACATACAGTAAACAGTATATTTTAAGTATGTTATCATTTGTCAAAACAGTTCGTTGAACTTAATTACATTTGTCGTGACAATATGTGGTACCTTCATGTCATTTATCAAGAGTTTCCATGGTAACTTGATGCCGTCCGTGAAGACTTGATAACTTGATGTCATTTATCAATACTTATTGCCATTAATCAAGACAACCCCTCGTAACCTGATGTCGTTATAAGAATCCATGGCAACTCGATGCCGTCCGTGAAGAAAATTCTTGATAACTTGATGTCACATATCAATACTTGATGTCATTAATCAAGACAATTCCTCGTAACCTGATGTCGTTATTTAAAGAATCCATGGTAACGTGTTACCGAGATCAAGTCAATCTATGTTAGCCTGGTGCATTTATGTATACACTCGCTGGTGACATGTCATTTATCAAAACTTTCCGTTTTATATTGATGCTATCGATGAAGACAATTCCTTGTACCTTCCTTACTGAAGAAAGTCTATGGTAGCTTGATGCTATTTAACAATCCACTCCACGGCAATGTGATGTCATGTTTCCAAGGACTCCAAGAGAACTTATTCTATTAAATACAGGTACAGAATATTATAGTAAAGAGGTCACATTAATGTAGCATGCTTTGTTATACGTTCGTGTAGATGATTGTTAAACATTTGATTTACGTTGTTACTGTTACGATTCAGCAGAAGTTCATTACACTCTGTTTTGACAATAGTTAGTAGTGGGGAATGTATTACTATCTAATGTAAGCAGTGGGTGGGTGGATGGGAGACGAGAAATATGCATGCTATGAAGAGAAACATGTATGCTTTGTCCATATGAACGCATGCAACAATAGGAACTGTGCATACTGTGTCAAACACTATGCAATATATAGTATATGTATTCAATTGATATTTTGAAATTAATCAACTATGTTCCAGCATATATTAAGGACTGATTATTCTCTGTCGTTGATTATGTATACATGATACACATTGCCATTTAGGAAAAGACAACGCTATGATACGCACTAATTCACATGTGTATATAAAGTCAAATCCCGATGAGTCGAATCGCTGGATTTCCGTAAAATCACTAATCTGCCTGTTGAACTCACCCGTCAATGGCGGAAAGGTGTGAGCCGCGTTGGTTTGTTAATTGGATCAGTTTGTTACACCAATCAACTTCTCCTTTACTGACTTCGGCTTATGTATACAAGATTGCTGTTGTTTGAATCTCATGGGACCAAATTTCCTTCTCGAGTCATCGTGTGTATTCATGAGACGAATTCGTGTAACCGGTATTCAAATGATGACAACTATAACAGGGAATGGTCGCGACCGACAGGTACTTCGAGTTATGCATAATATTCGAGACACCGGCATTCGAGTCAACCGGATTTGACTGTATATATATATATAGGGCGGTGGGTTAGTCTAGTGGTAAAAGCGTTGGCTCGTCACGCCGAAGACCCGGGTTCGAATCCCCACACGGGTACAATGAGTGAAGCCCATTTCTGGTGTCCCCCGCTGGAATATTGCTAAAAGCGGCGTAAAACCAAACTCAGTAACTCAGTCACATGTATATAAAATAATTGAGTGTGTGATTTGTGAAATTAGGCAGAATAATAGTTCTACGGTTTAATGAGAGAATCTCCAGAGAGGCAGTCTTTGGTGTCATCGTCAGCTTTCACCAGCAACACCTTGCATCCATCAGCGACGACCATACATCCCGTTGGCGGACCGAAAGTACCAGCCTTGATGCCGAATCTGCGGAAGACAACACCACGAATATTGTGACACTTTTGACACTTTCGTTTGCTGTCTGCAATATTCCAGCTATATGGAGGTGGTCTGTGAAAAATCGATTAATCAAAACCTTTGATCCTGCTTGTTGAGCACGAATGTGTCTAGGGTGGATTTCTGTTCATTTTGTTTAAATACAGAATGATTAAATTGATTCCATGTTTGTTATTTGTCTTTCGACTTTTTCCTGGGACGAGAAGTGTTTGTGTGTTTGGTTGTTGTTTCACGCCTCGCGCAACAGTTTTCCAGCTCTACATATGGCGGCTTTCTGTAATAATCGAGTCTACAACAGACTACTCAGTGATCAACAACATGAGCATCGATCTACGCAATTGGGACACGATGACATGTGTCAAGCAAGTCAGTTAGTCTAACCACCTGATCCTGTTAGTCGACCTCTTATGACAAACATGGGTTGCTGATGATCAGTTCAAACCCGGATCTGCACGGATAATTTCTACACGTACTATGTTTCTAATGTTCTCTCATGTCAGTTTGGATCCTAAATTTGCACAGTGTTATTTATCCTTTCTCAGTACTGGACGTTAACATACAGCAAAAAGTTCGTAGACTAACTGTATTCTCGATGTCCAATGTTTGAAAAGCTTCCATTTTATTTTGAAGGAATCTTTAGCAAAGTCATATCCAAAATTTCACATATGTGGGTAATGTGGTTAACGATATATTAGTCCTCACAACACATTGGGGTATGATATGTCTAACAAAACTGCAGAAAATGAAAAACGATTTGTCTTTTGGTACCTCTTAGATAATGGTATGCTCTCAGATAATGTCATATAAAATATGTTCAGTATAGTATTGTATGACTTCCCGTCATAATCGACAGTCAAAGATTAGGGTTGCTTAATATATATTTAGTCGAGGGCTGATTTTTAAGGACACCCCCATTTTAATCTTCCTAAAACATTGTGTCCAGATATTCAAGCTGGTCCTGTATACAATATATTGTGCGCTGACACTTGTGCAACCATTCAGTGTTTAGTTTGAACCCTCGGCATCATGTATGAATAAGTGAACACATTAGAATAAGTTATGTCCTTATGATTACGTCATCTGAAAAGGGGATGGGTAGTGTCTCCAAAACAAGCTCTTTCGGTCAACATGAAAGGGGAGGGGGGTCACTTTAACAAGCGATTGTAATTTCAAATTGCTTTTTTATGAACTATAATATCTAAATGTGATTCTAGAGGACTTCTATCAATCTCAAACACACAAAATATTTCTTGCATATTTTGTTTCCTGAACCTTTTTATGCATTTATTGTAGATTTTTGCGTTTTATGAGGGTTTTGTTCAAGATAAAAGGTCAAACAAAATGAGGATCGTGAGACCGGAACATAGCAAAACCAAATTGCTTAAGCTTGGCAGATAATAAAAAAACTGCATTTGTATCGTTTTCTTGGTGACTCTACATACTTTTTGATCGCCCCTCGTACATATTCATTCTAAGTATGGTCAGGCCAACACTAATTCTAAATATGTAATCATGTCTACAGATTGCTACTCGATGTAAGGTAAATGGTCGATAATATATTAGTTTCAAACTACATGCTTGTCCCTAACCATTGGCATTTGAAATAGACCCAAGGGCATATATCAGTGTCTCAGTAATTGGATCCCATATCAGACTATGTATTCGTGTCAAAGCGTAGCTGTTTGAGGTCAGTACTTGGCGCCTATGTACAAAGTCATCTTAGTGCTGAAACCATCTTAAGTCTCTGTTAGAGTATGGGAGTTACGATCATATTTGCGCTAAGACCGCTTTGTACAAGAGAACCTTACAGCATATACTCGTGTCTCAAATTGTTGATCGTATATATGTTTCAGACCATGTATCCTTGTCAGATCATGTATCCGTATCCAGATTGTTATTGGAAGGTAGTTCAGGATCTTAGAATATATACTGGTATCTCAGATTGTTGTTCATATCAAAGTATTTATGATTTCATGTCAGTTTGGGACCTTAGAATCTATTTTTATGTGCACATTATGTGTCATTTGCTGCCTGTCAACAGGTGTTTCGGGTGGTTGAAATGGTGTATATTCTTTTAAAGGGAAGTCGCAATATGGAGTTAGTGACGATTTCCCACGTGAAATGAGGATAGCCAGAGAGAAACTTTTTGGAGAACTTAAAGAATGGAGGAAGAAAGGAAAGAAGACCACCACTGCATATCCTGCTCGTCTCATTGTGGAAGGGAAAATTGTGCGTGAGGTACCAGTGTTTAGTACACCTCGCAAGGTGGCACCGTAGGAGATACGACCCGGGGGCACAAGGATAATCTCCTGGAATGTAAACGGAAGTTTGACTCATAAACTTCAGTGCGAAATTTTTTTGAACAGCATCAAGAAAGCTGAAGTTAATTTGTTGTGTGAAACATTGACTAATAATTATTCAGTTGTTGACCTGGATGGGTACGATTCGTGTTCAAGTCACAGAAAGCGAAAAAGGGGGGCAAAACGGGACTCGGGGGGTATGGTGGCATATTTTTCAGTTTCAATTTCACATGGTGTTACGTATATTAATAGTGAGTGTGAAGATCTCGTGATATTTAGATAACTCTGTATTTTAGTTGGAAAAAGATATGTATTTATCATTTGTTTATATTACACCAGTCAATTCATCTAGAAAGATGTTAACACAGGACTTGATACTTTTGACAGTTTGAAGTATTATACAACCAAGTTTAAACAGCTTGGAGATGTTTCAGTTTATGGAGATTTCAATGCAAGGACTTTCGAAAAGCAAGACTATATTCAGTTCGAATCAGACAGAGATGTGGATAATTTGCCTTTACCCGATGGTTATGTGTGTGATGATATTGATTATGAAAATGACTTCTTAAATAGTTACGGACATGTATTCCAGCGTTCATCAAAGGATATTGTAAATAACGAAAATGGCATAAGATTATTAGATTATTGCAAATCTCTCCAACTAAGAATTGTTAATGGATAAGCTGGTAAAGATAGATGTAATGGGGAATATACCTACTGCAGTAGGAATGGTCAAAGTGTAATTGACTAAGTATTGTTACCTATAGATATGTTTTCAATGATTACCAATTTTGATGTTGGTAGCAGCAATGAGTTTTCTGATCATAAGCCTATAATTATTGACTTTAGTATGTGTCCCCAAAGCTTAGATTTAGAATTGACCCCAAAGAAAGACAGAAAGCATTATAAATGGAAAGAAGGTAAATGTGATATATTCCATGAAGATCTTTTAACTAGTTATGTGCAAGATAGTTTCACTATTATTGGCGAAACCCTCGACGGGGAAAACTTAAACCAAGGTGATACTGATAATTGTGTACGTTTACTGTTAAGTGTCTTTAAACACGCATGCAGATATCACGAAGTGGAAAAGCCGGCGTTTGCACTTGCAGGGCGTGATAACAGCTGGTTTGATGAAGAAGGAGAAAGGTTACGGTCAGAGTTCAAGGGTGCAGAAAGGCAGTTCAGGGTAACTAGTAATTTTGAGGATCGTTGTAAAATGGTACATTGTCGTAGGTCTTTAAGAAGTTATTGTAGGAGTAAAAAAAGGATGTTTCATAAAGACAAGGCCAGGTAACTATCACAATTAAGCAAAAATAACACAAAAGCATTTTGGAAAAAAGTAAAACCGATCACAAAAGGCCCCAGTATTGGAAATTGCGATTTTAGTGATTATTTTAGGAAATTGGTAAACCCCTACTGATGTACCAGAGATAAGTGAGAATATAAATAATTTAAACGATGTATATAGATGGGTGGAGGAATTGGATGCACTGGTAACTGAAAATAAAGTTAATAGTGCCATAAAAAAGTCAAAATATAATAAATCGGCGGGATATGATGGCATAATTAATGATTTTTTTATTTTTAGTGAACATATTTTAACACCCACCATCACTAAACTGTTCAATGTTATACTTAAGACTGGATGCTTTCCTACTGAGTGGACAAAAGCTGTCATAGTTCCTATGCATAAGAAGGGTAATACAAATAATCCTGAAAATTATAGGGGAATAAGCCTATTGTGATGTATTAGCAAGTTGTTTACCAGTATTTGGGTAGCCAAGTGGTGTAATAAATATTCTATTCTTATTGAGGCACAAGCTGGGTTTAGAGAGCATTATAGTACTGTAGATTGTATTTTTGTATTGCATGGACTGATAAACCTCTCAATTAGTAAGGGGGCTAAACTGTATTGTGCCTTTGTTGATTATCGTAAGGCGTTCGACTATGTTAACAGACAAGCTCTTTGGTCTAAACTATTGTGTCTTGGTATAAGGTCAAACCTTTTACGACTTCTTCGTAACATGTATAGTAATGTTAAATCCTGCGTTAGATTAGCTAAAAATAGCTTTTCAGATTTGTTTTCCTCATCACTCGGGGTTAGGCAGGGCGAAAATTTGTCACCAATACTGTTTTCACTCTTTATTAATGATATAGTTGACTACATGAGTGCTGCTCCAGATTTGGGAGTTATAGTATTACACCTTCGTATACTTTTGTTGTTATTTGCTGACGATATGGTGCTCATCAGTGAAACTATAAAAGGATAACAAAGTGGATTAGACATTCTTCATTCTTACTGCAAGCAGTGGGGCTTGGTAGTTAATGTTGATAAAACTAAAGTGGTTGTTTTTCGAAAGGGTTGGAGAATTGCCCAAAGAGAAAAATGGTTTAATAATGGTAAACAATTATTTGTTGAGTCCCACCCGGGATTCGAACCCAAACCCTTAGTCAGGCACCTAATCGGTAGCTGAGTGGGTTAGATGGATGACTTTGTGAGCTGGGAAATAAGTGCCAGACACGGAGGTTCATGGTCCGAAGAAAAGGAGAAAACGTAAAAGAAAGTGTAATTCCAAATATAATATGTGTTACAATCTGCGTAATGCTAAACTTGACTTAAAATATCATATCCATTTGAATGCGCAGAATTGTCCTGGTTGTATACACATAATGTATGTGACACTATGATATGTTTGTAACTGTGTAACGAAGTGTCCGCTATACTTGCCCACAGCAGTTCAGAGCCGTGTCATTGCAGGTGCATTCAATACAGTCGGTTGTCTTGATATGAGATCCAACCTGCATCTTCAATCCTTTGTACATGCAATACTTTGAGACTGATCCATATTCTGAAAAAATAGTGATATAATGTTTGAGCAGTTTTTCCCCTTCTGATAGTGGCATACCAATTTAACGTGCGAAGGAGACCAGGAGTGATGCAGGCCATGCACGCTTATATATAATGGCATTGGTATTGTCATGGCATGGCAATTTGATGTGGGAAGGAAACAAGGCCAAGAATGATCCGGCAGGTCATAAAGTAAGTGAGTGAGTTTAGTTTTACGCCGCAATCAAAATACTTTATGTGATTATTAGCATTTAGTTGGAATATTGCTGAGTGCGGCGTTAAACAACAACCAACCAACTGAATTTTATTAATCACATAAAGTATTTTGAACATATTGTTTTTGTCGCTATTTTTAATATTATATACCTATAATGCTACAACTTGAATGAATGGTCACAGTCACTGTGTCCCACAGAAACCATGTCATGACGGTCATATTGGAAAAGCCTTCTTGGTATCAACTCATAATGTAAAAACATCCTAGAACTGTTAATACAAAACTGTAACAAGTGGTGAAGCAACTTACTTGACACGTCTGTGTAAACCTTGTCTATAAAACAAAAGCATTGTGCTGACACCACAAGTCCAAGCAGTAACAGTCCATACACGTACATGTCGTAGTGGAGGCGATGGAGATGTAAGCCAAACAAAATGGTCTCTCTCGTTGGGTCATACAAATGTGTGTGAATCAACAGATACTCTGATAAGAAGATAACTCCAGTGGTGTAAAAATATATTGTTCCAACAATACCAAAATCAAAAGATATTACACACTAAATGGCCCAACGTAGAAATATATTTGTATGTGATTTATATATCAATATATACCAAGGACACCATACGTGTGTGGGGGGTGGGGTGCGACGAGCGGTGTTTGCAAATATAAAACCTCAGCGCAAACGAAAACCCAGTATTCAATATTCTCATAACCAAATTCTGTTCGGTGTAAAAGGGAAATAGTTGTGAAAAATATATAAATGGATCATGGAAAATCAGCGATGGCACCAGGTGTTCGCCAAAAGGGTGTTTGCGAAAAGGATAATGTCCTACCTTACCGGTGGCATCCGCCATTCACAAAATGTGTATTATTTGCCTGACGCTGCACAATAGTACCCCTACCATATGCAAAGGCGGTCTCATAACAAACACAAATTTCAGGAAAATAAGTTTACATATTTTTTTATTTATAACTGCTGTGTAGAAATACAGAGATTCCCATGATTATAAAGAAAGAAAGATAGAGCAAAAGAATAGATTTGTTTTACAACACATAGGGGGTCAGTTTTATTGTCTCGGACTAAACATTTATTTTGTAGTTGGCTTAGCATACTTAAAGGGACACTGTTCTAAAGCAATTCCCGGGACTGGTTGTTGCTTCTGTTATTGTTTTTCTCTCGTGCCTACCCGGATGATATCCCAGAAATCTTGACTGGGTTGCGTTCTCTGCTGCGCCACCCGCAAGCGCAGTTGGTAGTGTTAGTATACCCTGCCGTCATACGATTCCGTGGTACTCACGTTTCCGTGGTATTTTTTAATGACGTAATTTCTCGCGAGCCGCTCACCAAATCGCGCCACCTACCGATTGTTTACATACATCTGTTCAGTCATCTAATATTAAAAACTAATGTAACTTTATGTCTAGCACGTAATGCACTTTTTGTGCGATCTTTACAAACATTTTCTATAACTTTCTTCAGCTTCAAAGTTTTCCAAACATCGCTCGTCTGCTAGCTGACGTAATAAATAAAAATAATCACGTGACCTAGTAGGGGAATCCCTGCTCTATTTTAAGAAGTATGGAAGCCCGATAGGGTCATCTCTTAAGTCTCTTAAGTGTTTTTATCACCATTGTAGGGCATTCCTGCGCGACGAAAACGGCAGTATCGATCTTACAGTCCTGTGTATAAGGCTGCTAAGATACACTCTGTAACTGAACAAACTCTTAGGGACCGTGTGAAAGGCATCACTTCGCCAGAATGCTTGTCTTCAGGTCCAGGACCGCTATTAAGTCAAGAAGAAGAGGCTCGTCTTGTCAGTCATTTGAAACTTATGGCGTCTGTCGGATATGGCTACACCAGGGCACAAGTTATCTCCCTTGAGACGGAGTATGCTATCACTTTGGATAAAAGAGCCAAGCAAGACAATAATCTGTCTTTGCAGTGGTTTTATAGCTGCATGGGCAGATGGCGAGAACTGAAACTGAGACGTCCTCGTTCACTCACACAACTTCGAGCTACAGCAACATCAGAGGAAAATGTAGAGAAGTATTTCTCGCAGCTGGAAGAAGTCCTTGACAAGTACCAGTTAAAGTCAAGCCCAGAGATGATCTACAACGTTGACGAGAAGGGGATAAATGTAACACACTCAGCACCCCAAGTTGTTGATTCGTCTAATGAGGTTCCAATCGAGATCTGTCCTGAAAAATCGGCTACTGTAACAGTTCTTGGGTGCGGTAACGCCATCGGCCAGAAGATCCCACCCTTCTTCATTTTTCCTGGGACTCGTATGCGGGATGACTTGCCCGAAGGATCCAGCGTTGGTACATCTGGAACAGTCAGTGAGAGTGGTTGGTCCAATTCCGATGTTTTCCAACGTTGGATGGTCGGAAACGAGAAGAAAGTCCTGCTACTCTATGATGGAAACCGTTCACATATAACACCAACACTCATTGATTTTGCTGTGTCAAAGGTGATTATCTTATTTGTGTTGCCACCGCACACAAGTCATGTACTTCAACCCATGGATATTGGTTGTTTTGGACCATTTACCAAGATTTTCAGCGCCGAATGCAGGAAATATCAACGTTTGAATTCCGGAACCGTCAATAGGTACAGCGTTTGTGGACTTGCATGCAAAGCATATGGACTCTCTCTCTCTTCATTCAACTTGCAGAGCTCATTTCGGAAATGTGGGATATTTCCTTTCAATCCAGCGTCTATTGACAGATTTTTCCTCAAGCCATCGACCTATACTAAGGAACAAGCGGAAAAAACATCAGAGGAATCACACACCGACCTCGCCGATCCCGATTTCTTTGATGAACATCTTCCCGTAGTCACTCTTAAGTCTCAGAAACCACGTCGGTCCATACACAAGATCGTCGGCGGTCAAGCTATCACAGAGCCTGCTATATCTACACAGGTCATGGAATATGTAAATTAGACTAAAACGCCATCTGCGACTCGTGTGAAATCTTTAGCTGCCCGAAACAAAGAAAACATCAAACAGAAGAAATCTACTGCCGGGGAAAAAAACCCAGAAATCTGGTCGCTCATCAGTCGCCAATAAGTCTCATTCTTCCCCGAAACCTGGACCCTCTGGTAATGACAAGCTGCTTATATCCAGCGACGATGACTGCTCTGATTCAGATGTACCTGACAGCGAAGAAGAGAAGTGTTGTGTTTGTGGTAAATTTCAGCCCGAAGAATTGCGTCGTTGTCCACACGTGGAATTCACCAAGTGGGGTCAGTGCATGTTTCGTGACTGTGAGCATTGGGTGCATCTCAAGTATTGTTGTACCACCTCATTCCTTCGCCGTCACGACGAATTTTACTGTCCATGTCATAATGAAGAGTAAATTACAGTGTTAATTGTGCAACCCTCATTAAGAATTCATTACGTATTCCATTGTTCAACAGTACATATTTGGAGAACAGGAAATTTATGCTGAATAAATGTGACTATTGTGTTAATTCTTTAAAATTGGTGACTGTCGTACATTTCTTAATACCACGGAAACCCATGACGCGAGTGTATAATATGTATACCCTTATATTCATCAACAGAGCTGCAATACAGTTTCGTTTTGGAATCAATTGGGAAAATGTACTCGTCTGCAGGAACTTCGACCCAGTTGAATTAACTATGGCATGCCTTGTGGTGTTATGCTTAACAGACATAAAATTTATTTCCTAGGAAGTTAGTGGTTACTTGTCTTTTTGTTGATGCTCGTCTTTGTGTTTCTATGAACCTCATGCATTTTAACCGTATGCATTTCGTTTATCAGAACACAACGCGATATAAATATTCCAGTTATATGGCGGCGGTCTGTAAATAATCGAGTTAGGACCAAACAATCCAGTGATTAACGTCATGAGCATCGATCTACGCAATTGGGATACGATGACATGTCAACCATGTCCGCGAGCCTGACCACCCGATCCCCTTAGTCGCCTCTTAATACAAGCATCTTCGCGGGTATAATCTTGCAGTGAATCTGATACAAACGTATGGGATACCAAAGCTTATATATTATTGTTTGTGGTTAACATGCATATGGTAGGGCATGCATTATGCTCGTATCATAGGTCGTGGACGGTTGCTTTTTCAGAATACAAAAAAAATATTGGCAACGTCTTGTTATTGTAAATATCTATTGGAAATGTGTTTCTGGAAAAAGGAGCATTGCATTCTTGGGGGTAGACTATTTTGTTTTTGGAGTGTGGAATGTGGATCCTCAAATCAAGATATCTGTTTTAATACAACTGTAAGCCCAACGATATGTAGCGATGTGTTTTGTGGCTTTTTCGATTGCTCTTCTACTGTTTCACAAGAGACAGTAGAAGCAATCTTTAGTTTCATCATCAATGTTTACAAGCAGCGCCTTGCAGCCGTCACCGACAACCTTACATCCACTGGGGGCTTGGATAACGCCCGCCTTGATGCCGAATCTGCTGTAAAGGATAAAAAAAGCTGTGATTACATATTCCATTATCCTTACAATACGAATGTTTGATTGGCATTTTAAAAGTTGTATGATACTCTATGGATGTGACGTTTTTTATCATGTTATGTTGCCATACATCATAATACAATAAAGATGTTTAAAAGGTAATTTGACCCGTGAAGATCCGGGGTAGAATAGGTCTTCAGCAACCCATGTGCTTGCCATAAAAAGGCGACTATCTTGTCGTAAGAGGCGACTAACGGGATCGGGTGGTCAGTTTTGCTGACTTGGTTGACACATGTCATCGGTTCCCAATTGCGCAGATCGATACTCATGCTGTTGATCACTGGATTGTCTGGTCCAGACTCGATTATTTACAGACCGCCGCCATATAGCTGGAATATTGCTGAGTGCGGCGTAAAACTAAACTCACTCACTCACTAAAAGGTAATTTCATGGGAAAGGTCAGTTTAAGAGTTAGAAACATCTTGGTAGATGTGTAAGCACTACTGCAGTGCAAATGCTCTTTAAACTAAAGATGTCTTTCTATTGTGTGGTATCCATTACTTTAAAGTGTTTCCATCTAATTAAATTTCAGATGAAGGATTCATAATCACTGATTCCTTTGAAATCAAACTGAATTTTACCTCTTCATAATATTCAGAAATGAATAAATGTTCGAAGGAGATGGATAAATGCCATTCATCGGGACGAAGGACCATTTTTAAGGTAGGTTAAAATTTTCATTCAGGTTTTTCGAAATTAAATCTCGAGAATTTGAGTCGTCCAAACAGCAACGAATATATTATCGGAGCTGCAGTTGTCAAACAGATTATAAGATAGAAAAATATTTTGTCTCCAACAACTACACGATAGCATTTTCCCATGTCAAATTTGTTTTCAACTATAATTTTGAGTTACTAATTTACCAGGACGATTGCATACATTAGCCTTACGTGGTCCTATTTGAAACAATAGCAGATGGACCCAGGGATAATTATTATAGAATCACTTATATACA